CACAAAAAGCGTTTTTCCGCAAAGTGCAGGGCACAGCCAGCCTAGCCACCCACCTACAAGCAGACCTTCTCAACAGAAAATGGGACCAGATGGAGCCAAAGGCCTACTAACTGCACCCTTGCTGCAAAAGTTTCAAGAGTAAGAAGGGCCCAAAGTGAGACCCCAAAAGGGACAAATTCCATAGAGATATCTCCAGGCCCACATACCCCCCAAGTTCCCCCTTTCTCCTCCCCCCAGCCCCCTAGGACTCTAGCTCAGAAGGGTCCTATGGCAGCTCCAGCCCCTATTAGAGCACCCGTCCAAGGCTGGGTGTGCCACTAACACAAGGAATCGAGAGTCAGGAGAGCCTGGACCTACTACGATTCCTCCACATCTCACTGTGTGAGCCTGGATACCTCTGCATGCTCAACTGTAAAGAGGACATAGTGAGACGTGTACCGAACAGCTCAGAATTAAGGTAACATGTAGGTTTTTGTAAACTGTAAAGTGCTGTACAAATGCAAAAGGTCATTTTTATTATTCCACAGAGTGGGTTCTTATTAAATGACAAAATTCCCTAAAGACCAAGTGCAGATGAGATTGGCAATCCTTTTTCAGCTCATAGGAACACACTTGTGTTGGCCCCTGGTGCTGGCCCGAGGTCTTGTCCATGTGGCTCTGAGGACTTCTGCCCAAGACCAGCTCTGTAAAATTTAGTTATCTTCACACGTGCCCAAGGAAGACTCTCTTCCTTCTGAATGTGCAGACATCACAATATCTTCCCCCAGAGTTGGTTTCCATTGAGACGCAGCAGCTTCCTCCCCAAGGGAATGTTACTCATTCAATTGCAGCTTCCATCGGGTGTTTCCATGCACAGAAACTCAGCATGGAAGACTCTCAAAATGACGTGCACCTCCTGGTCTATCTCGGGCTTTCCCAGCTTGTCCATCTGCTTCTGCCTCACCGGCGCACACCGAGGCTGCTGGAGACAGCTGCACAGAGAGCTCGTGGGAAAATCGTGAGACACTGCTACCACCTTGGGGCAGTTCAGGATAAGAGTCAATATGGGGCTCCAGTGCCCTGCAGTGCGGGTTCAAATCCTGGCTTTGACACTTTCTGTTAATGTTGGGCTCTTCATCTATAAAACATGGATAACCTAGTTCTTCCTACCTCATCAGCTTGTTATTAGGATTAAGTGACAGAGTGCGCGTTACAATGCACGTTGGTCTTATTACTGAGCTTGTACCGTTAGCTACTGACTTAACCTGTTCATGCTCTTGGCTTTTCCTTTCTCATAATAACTGTTCCAAATAAATAATAAAGAAACTAACAACAAACAAATAAGTAAATGCCTTCTGCTAACTGGGAAGGTTATAATGTTATTTTATATTTTATTTTACCCCAGCTTCAAGACCTGCTAATATGTCTCCTCTCTGGAGAAGTGTCTACAACTCCTCAAAGTCAATGTACATGCCCCACGCGTGCTCATTTGCATCGGTGCTCCTGGCACTCTACCGTCATTGTCTGTGCTTTTCTATTTCCCCCATTAGATTATTAACAATTTAGGGTTAAAAAAAAAAAAAAGCATGTCACCCAGTGCCCTGGTGAATAATGTAACTAAATGGCAATTGTATAATTAGTCCCTGGAATTATCACTCATTCATTCTGCCACAGAAGCATGTTGCCGTCTTCTAAAATCAGAGACACTGAAGCATGCAACAGACTGACAGTATAGCAGAGGGAAGGGGGGCGGAGCAGGAAGAGATTAACCGGAGAACTTATATGCATACGTGCATAGCCCAGGGACACAGACTACAGTGTGGGGAAGGCCTGGGGCGGGAGTGGGAGGAGGGTGAAGGGGGTCATTGCGGGGGGTGAGGGGGATATCTGTAAAACTTTCAACAATAAAGATAAATTTAAATAAGTAAATAATAAAAGTACAGCTTTGGGAGTGTCCCTACAGATGAAAGGAGCACCTGGGAGCAGACACAGTGGTCAAAGATGGACTTTGTGCTGTTTTTGGCAGGAAATAGAATGAGGTTCATCTTTGCTCATTGATTGGTCTCTGGACTCAACTGGAAGGGTCAGTTAAAGAGCCATAGTTTCTGGGTACTTCGTTCCCTTCACATGATCAGATGACAGGTATCCTGGGTCATAAGACCTCTCAGAACTTCTGTGTGCAAAGGGTAAAATCTTCCCTCTGGAGGTTGAAACTTGGGGACACTGACTTTTTTTCCAGGGGAAGCATCTGCAAGTGCAAGTTGAATGAATCAAGTGATGTCCTTGCGCCTGTGTCTGAAGCAGCTAGAGGGTGACACTGGGCAGAGCCCTGGGCTTCAGTGAGTGAAAGAAAAGGATAGGGGTCTATTCAGACTCTTTCCCCTTCAGACAGGTTGCCTCTGACCCCCACAGGGCAAGGCAACAGTGCATACAGGAATGGGGGGCTCGGCCTCAACACCGTCCAATGGCAACTGTATGCCAGGTACCTCACCTCCTACACCATATCTAAATCTTACAGTCGGTCCATGAGGTAGAATTCAAGGGGCCATTTTATAGATGAAGGAACTGAGGCCCAGACTAAAGACTGCCGAGACCCTGCTGAGTGGAATCCCAGTCTGCCTGCTCTGCCTCTTGAGAGGAGCCCAAGTCAGTGAAGAGGTGGGGACTGGTCCTCGACCTTGTCCTCCCCCACATTTCTAGAGACTTCAGGAGTGCTGGGCTCTGAGGACAGGCTTGTGAGTGCCTCCGGGACCCCTAAAAACTTTAAGAAGGTGGCAGAGAGAGGCAGGGTTTGCTGAATTTGGAGAGTGTGCGCTAACCCAAAGCACAACATAGAGTGAATTACTGATGTGGTCACAAGTCCCCCGCTCCCACTCCTCTTTCTCCCTCTCTCTCTCTCTCTCTCTCTCTCTCTCACACACACACACACACACACACACACACTGTGCTTTCACTGTTAGAAAACCTGCACTGACAACATATATATTCATTGAGGCTGATACGTTCAAGTGAATCCTCAACACCTTCCCAGGGACATTGGACAAACTCAATTCCACAACGAAATAAGCGCGAGTATTTGTGTTTGTTCCTCTCACACACTCAAGAGAATTCTAAAAGACTGTCTAGATCTTTCTTGAAACACCACTTGGCCCCTGCTGGGATTACCCAACCCCACTTGGAAAGGGGCGGCCCCAGTGTTAGCTGCTACTGGCTCCCTGTTCAGAAAGCAGGTCCTTTCATGAAGCTCAGCTGTTCCTCGGGCATCCAGCAAGGCTGGTCGTGCAAAGGCAGAAACTGTGACAACTGTTGGAAACCTTCAGCAGCAGCCTGTGGCAGCAACTGAACTGTCTCTGGAGCAACCACTTCATGGACAGTTAAAGCAGCCTATTATTCAGTTTACATAAAACACCCACCAGCTCCATGGCACCAATAACTGAATATCTCCATTCTTACTGAGCTCACGACACACTGGCCACACTGCCTGGCCACTAACTTCAGAAACCACAAGCTTCATTAACCATCAAAATACACATGCACAAAGGGAACGGGAAAGAAAAGAAAAAACAGCCCTGTTGAGTTCTGAGGACCAGAACTCAAAGATCGCTCAATAGGCAAACCACAGTATTTCAACACTGCCAACAAACTCTCTACGACAGTTAAGATTTGGAGAGTTTGATAAAGAGGGTCTCAGAGCCACGGAGACCCGATCAAATCCTTCTTTAAAAAAGAAGAGCCTGTGTGCCTTTTCCCCAATGAAGAACCTGTCCAAAGGATTTTTAAAACACTTTACTATGCTTTGCTTCCAAACCATTACACACTATTTCTCCAATAAATTTATATGTGTTTCCAGGGAACTCCTGGACCAAAAAAAAACAACACAAAAAAAACTACTTAAGTAGAAAAATGTCTGGAGATTCCTGTATGCCAATATGTTAACAGACCTTCTCTTTTAATTGTTATTATTTCATATAGCAGCAGTAATCATTCCCTCATCTGCAAAGGAAATATATAATCCAGCTGTGGTGGCTCCAGTAAAAATACCACATCTGTGGATCATTGGCAACACTGCGGAAGCTTGCTCAAATTGAGGCAGTCTCCGAGAGTTCTCTCTTTCTCTCTCTCCCCCCCCCCCCTCCCTTCCACTCTCTCTAAAAATCAATGGAAAAAATATCCTCTGGTAAGGATTAACAACAA